AAACATTTATAATGAAATAAGGAATAAATAATAACTTTATTATTGCCTCTAGGGCATATTTCCTTCACCAGCAGGGGCTCGCCCTGGTGTGGCGCGGCCGCGACCCGCACTGCCACTGCATGCCCCAGGCCGCAGCCATCCCCGCCTTGCCGCCCGCGCCGCTCAAAAGAGGAGCTCCACCGTCGCGCCCAACTCGCCAGATTCGCACACCCTCGGAGCTGCCAGATCCGCAGCCTCTCCGACACAGCCAAGCTACGCCGCCCTACGCGCGCCTCCCCGCGGTCGAATGCGGCCGCCCCAGCCCGTGTGCGCACCAGCGCGGGAGCAGCGCCCTGGATCCCGCCGAGATGGGCAGCCCACGCTGCTGGAGCTCAGACAGGAGGAGGAAGTGCCCCCCCCCCCCCGCCGTTGAGCCATGCGGGCTTTGCCCGGCGACGTCTGCCGACGGCGGCGAGGGGAAGATGATCGTGGATCTACGCTGGCGGCGGCTAGGTTTTCGCCCCCATGGACGCCCGCGGGAGCAACCCGAGGAGCGTTCCGCTTTTCGTCCTGGGGCGGGAGGGGTTTGGCTTTGCTGCGGTATAAGCATGATCTTGCAGCTCTACCAACCATGTTTAGTTGGGTTCAGCTTCAATGAAAGCAACTTATGTAGGCAACAATCAGGTGATGATCCAACCTATTTAGCATGTTTAGCTCCTTTATAGTAGCTACTATGGGTCGTTTCCTTCATTGCCTTTTACTTCCTCCGTTTCATAATATAAAAGCGTTTTTGACACTACACTGAGGGAGTACTTTTCCTGGCTAGCAAAACCCTGCAACATGTGACGAAAGAAGAATAGCTGTCCTGGCTGATCTAGGTCGCTTCTAGAACTGATATCTAAATTATTGTATGGCCCACACGACATTTGGTTACCAGGCTCGAGGTAGCCCTTTTCTCTCTTTTTTGAAAATTTATTTCCACATCTAAAAAAGTATTGGGAGTAGTGTGCACATATATATATATATATCGACACGTGTACTCCCAATAAACAAGTATACCGATTGAAAATTCATGCTCGAACAAGGTTTGTGCAAATTCATAAAATGTTACAAAAATGCGAGCACATCCCAAAATGCCAACATTTCCACTTACCAGCGGTAATCGGTTCTACCGGTGTTGCTCGGTATTGTTTCTCGACCATTACCTAAAACATTGATTTGGAGTAAAAAAAAGAATACCAGGAGACTACAAACTCAACAAGTCATCAAGGTCGATTCTAGAGCTTTGATTCCTCGTGACTCTTCGAGTAGAATATGAGTATTTAGGATGATTCATTTGCTACTGAAAAGGTTATCTAAGATGGTTTCTCAATGTCATATATGACAGTTTCAAGAGGGGTCTCCTTTGGAGTCACCGATATCGTGGTATCTTAGACAGTTTCCAAGCCGTTTAGAAAAAACTTCACCTTAGATGGTTCTAGACAAAGACCTGTATGAGTTGGGTGACTTTTATCTTTGGCATTTGTAGTGACCATGACATTTTAGTTGATTATGCCGTAAATCCCGTTTGAGATAACTAAGATGTGTGCACTCCATCCTTTGTGCTCCACCTCAATAATATTCTTGTGTGGTAGGGCGAAGAGTCACCTGATCAGCCAAGTCTTTTGACCATGCCCTAACACAATTATTATGAATGTGTTTTTGAGAAGTAAATCAAATCCATGATGAAATTGTACTTGTAGTAAAACGATACTAATATTATGATATTCGGTAGGTAAAGTTTAATACTTTCTTGAGCATGTAGTTAATACACATATAAGTTGGTAAAATCAGAGCG